TTTCAGGAATTTTTTAAGGAAAAAGGGTCTTTTCATTATAACTTCCGGTCTGATGACGTCATACACCTCAAACTTCGCACACGTCTTAAGGGGTCAAGGTCATCATATACACCACTATTTAGGCAATTCCGACAAACTTCGCCACAGACATCTATTCAAAATACATTTTTGAAAATTTTCAACCTATTGCTAGAGGGCGCTCGAAGGTTGCATGACGTCATCGGTAGATGATCAGAAGAATACTATCGGCCAAGAGACTAACACCGTTAAAAGCAAGTTCACATCTATTACCACTTTTAAATAATAAGCCACTTCCGTTTTTAGCCTTTTTCAACCGGAAGCAAGGGTCACGTGTCTTGTCATTGTGGTCTTGGTTTGAACCAAGTTTAATGTCAATCCGATGAAAAAAGTGTGCAATTTTTGGAAGCAGAATAAAATTATAAATATTTAAAAAAAAAACTTTAAAAACGATGACGTCATTGTGACGTCACTTCCAATTTTGCATACTGGTACGATTAACTACCTACCCACCAAGTTTCATGACAATCGAACCTTTCCTTATATATTTTTTGAAAAATCGCATTTTGATGACGTCATGATGACGTCACACATTTTTCAAAATGTTGTACTAATACCTATTACCTAACAGACCTAATACAAAAAGAATTTTGAAATTTGCATGTTGCGTTCGTGACATATGGCTAAAAGGTCAAAAAATTCAAATATTCATATAAAGTCTCAGGATGATGTCATCATAACGTCACCTCATTTTTTTTTACCTACAACACATCCCAGTCTAGCCACATACCAAGTTTCAACCCAATCGGGGTTACAGTTCTGTAGATATAGGTTTTCCAAATATGCACGTAAATTTTCAAAAATCAATAAAAAATTAGGTGATGACGTCATCATGACCGTCAATGACGTCATAGTCTTTGCATAATTTTTGTATGAGGGTCTTCCTTGGCTGTAACTTTGATGACGATTACAGATCGCCAAGTTGTAAAAATGGTGGCTTGAAAACGTGTACAAAGTCAATGGGCTAAAAATCCCACTGCAGAAAAACTGCACCTTTAAATATGTGATTTGCCTTTAAACTGAAACATTTTTATAAAATATTACTTGATATTCTGACTCTTGGGAATATTTTCAATCAAATGAAAGAGAATACAAATACAATTTTGTTTTCCTTAATGCTGAGTATGATCATCTCTTGCTCTATGACATGGTTATAGACCCGTGAACGTGGCGTATACACCGCCACGCGTTCATCTCATTGAACAGCTTTCGATCGGCAAACATCGGCGGGAATAGAATTTCCGTTTGAGTCCCGCAATTTAACGAGAACATTTATGACCAGAACTTACACAAAACCTTATCCGCAAACTTTGAGCTGTGTAGGATCGGTCATTCCAAAGAAATTTCGGGAACCAAACGAAAATTCTATTCCCGGCGATGCTGGCCGATCGAAAGCTGTTCAATGAGGGATGTACGCGTGGCGGTGTATACGTTATACCGCCACGTTCACGGGTCTATGGCATGGTGTAATTAATTCACAGTGGTTTTAAGGACAACTAGTAGAGCGCCCACTTATTTGTGTTAGTATGGTGCCTCAGAATTTCATACGGACTAAACATGTCTACGAACGCGCTCTATGATCTTTGCTACGAACAAACCTAGTGCATGTACTGTATAAAGTATAGTACCCAGAACCATATATCAGCTTTCGAGGTACGACCTGCGATATACGAGCAGTTTTGTTAGCGGAAAATTTAGTGATGTTAGCAGATTGTTTTGTTTAGCTTGTATTTGTAAATGTCTGTTGGATAATGAATACTGTTCTGTTATGTAAACGTTTCAGATGAAGTGTTAGGCCTAATTGTATAATTGGTGATTTTTTGACGACTGATGACGATATGGTCACGTCACCATGGTCACGTGGATAATGTATGCAGAGCTGCATGGTGTATCACGTGGATATGTAGACAAGCCACGTATCGGCCGGGTCTAGGTGTATCCATGGTGTATCGTGGCCCAGGACGGGTGTACCCCATATTAATGTGGCTCAAATACTCCACTTTTTACGTGTTGTTAACTATACTGGGATGATATTGGGGGCATGTGTTTCACGAATAGTTGACGACATGAATATGATTGATGGGATCTTTGTGTTAACATCTTTTTATTGGAAGATATACACAAACTCACAGACTCACAGAGTGGTGTTTTGTAGGTCAAAAAATAGTGAATGAAAAGAAATCGGAGTACTAGTGTAGGCATGGAGCTATAAAAGTGAAATTGTTCGGAGTATATGACCTGAGGCTGTCATGGCTGTTGTTAGTGCAATCTTTTGGATGAACTGACTGACTTACATTTCCTGCATAATGATCTATGTTTCCTACCTCCATGTTGCAGGCATGTTTGCTATGAACTGACATGATCTATTTTGAATTAGATGATGTAGTCAGTGAAAATGTATTAATTGAAATTTCATGGAAGTGATTTTGTTGAACATCTTTTCTCCAGATGGTTTGATCGTATTGTGTTATCTTTGAGGAATGTGGTTACTTGGTAGGCCCTTGCCTTTTGTGGCATTTCAGTTGACTCAATATGGTTACAGCGGCATACAACTGTATTGAAATGCCCCAAAGAGTATAAGGTGACTACAAAGTAGGCAGTATTGTTAAAGCAGTCTATGTTAACACAAGTGGAGACAAATAAAAAGGACTGGAGCGAGTTCAAAAATAGAGTTTCGACAATTTATTTCCCATGTACTAAGCTACATCTGCATCTTGTGCAAGACAAAAGGCAATTTTGTGAAGAATTGTATTGCAGTTGTTACACACTAGTTGTTACCCTAACTGTATGCATACTTCATTTACAAATGTATTTTTTCTTCTTATTTTGTTTTCAGAAATGAGGAGTGTCGTGACACCATCCAAGACATCAAGTTCCTTCTGGTCTGTTTGTGTGCAGCTCGTCCAGTGTGTCTGTCCCATTAACCCTGCCCTGTCCTCTCATTTCATTCCTTAGTGTGTTTAATTCATTCCACATTCACTCCAACATTTCATCTCCTAAATATCATATGAATAAAAGTTGTTACATGTGAGCTGAAGTTGTTATATGTGAGCTGAAGTTGTTATATGGGAGCTGAAGTTGTTTTTTTGTGAGCTAAACGTGTTCTGTGTTAAAGCTATTTTGTTCTAAAGTTACAAAGCTGAAGTTGATTGCCAATTCAAAGGCAAAGATTACATGCTGAAGTTGATTGCCAATTCTAAGGCAAAGATTACTTGCTGAAGTTGATTGCCAGATCAAAGGCAAAGATTACTTGCTGAAGTTGATCGCGAATTCAAAGGCAAAGATTACTTGCTAAAGTTGATTGCCAATTCAAAGACAAAGATTACTTGCTGAAGTTGATTGCCAATTCAAAGGCAAAGATTACTTGCTGAAGTTGATTGCCAATTCAAAGGCAAAGATAACTTGCTGAAGTTGATTGCCAATTCAAAGGCAAAGATTACTTGCTATTGTTGATTGCCAATTCTAAGGCAAAGATTACTTGCTATTTGTCGGTTAATGTTTTCAAGGTAAACTCAAGATTTATATAGCCTGACGTTGCGAACTTAGCAAGTTCTTCTTCAGAGGCTAAAACAGAAATGACAGAGGTACATACATTAACATGGGGGTGCACACAAACATGCAGGGTTGAAAGAAGAAACACAAAAGGAGGATTAGGTGTGAAAGGTGTGGAAAGATGCAGGGGAGGGTGGATGAGAGAACAAAGAAACAAAGGGAGATGGCAAACCACAAGGGGTCTTGTGTAAACAGGGGAGGGACCAGAAAGGGGAAGGATCAAAGGTCACAGGGAGTGGGAACGGACAAAAGAGTGTGAGAGTGAAGGGATGATGTGGGGGGGGGGGACAGTATTGAGGTGGAAAGGGATGAAAGATGGGGAAAGATGGGTAAACACAAACAAGGAAGACCAGATGGATTATCTGTAACAGAAGACAATGGAGGAAGAAAAGGATTAATCATTTCCAAGTTGGATGTTGAGACCATGTGATTGAATAGTTCGAAGACGATTCATCCACACTTTCTCTCTGCTGAGGCGAACTGAGTCCTTGCGATGGCCAAGAGATTCAATGCCCTGCAAAATCATATCAGAAATGGAGTGGTTAGGCAGGTTGAAGTGATGACCAACAGGGGTGTCTAGTTTCTTGGTGTTGACCGTTGACCGGTGGGCATAGAAACGCTTCTTGAGCGTATTCTTAGTCTCACCTACATACTGCACTCCACAGACCCTGCAAGAAATGAGATATATGACATTAGAGGCTCGAGATTACTAAGCTGAGGAAAGAGCAGCTCAAGCGAAAGCAGCAACTGGAGCAACAGAAAATGATGTTGGAGATGAAATTACAACTTCAAAATGCGGAGGATGAAGAGGAGCAGGCAGAATTGGAAACACATATTTGGGGAGAGGAAATGCACGAGGAAGATGCCACAGAAGACAGACCAGATGTTACGCAAGCAATTGACACTAGTGTAGAAGTCACAATCAGTACTCTGGTTGTCAACAACCATGCTCGAGCACAGGCCGACATGATAGATGAAAGTGGCAATATAACATTTCCTTCAAACACAACAGAGGAGAGTGTCACACCACCTGAAGTAGCCTCACAGTCCACTCCAGCATCAAAAGATCAAGTAAGCATTACACAATTGTGCCAAGCCTTGACACTCACCATGAACATACCGAAGCCTGACATTAAGTCCTTTAGCGGAGACCCAGCGGAATATTGGGCATTCGTGACCAGTTTCGAGACAAACATCGGTTCCAAAGTGACTGATGCCCGAACAAGGCTGACTTACCTGGTGCAGTTCTGTCGAGGTATAAAAAAAAGGCAAAGGAAAGCATCGAAAACTGTATCCTGATGGAACCCACAGAAGGCTACAAAACAGCACTTAAAATCTTGCGCGAGCAGTTCGGACAGCCACACTTAATAATGCATGCTCTGCTGCGCAAGGTTACCAACCGAGGACAGATACGACAGAACGATGGCAACGCCCTTTGGGATTTAGCGAGGGACATGAAGAAGTGCCAAATAACCTTGTCCCAGCTTGGATACAATGCGGACATGAACAGCTCAGAGAACCTACTTAAGGTTCAGCGTCTCTTGCCCGTTCATCTACAAGCAGACTGGGCCAAGAAGGCACAGGTGACCATCGAGTCCAAACGAGAACCAAGCTTCGCACAGATGACGGAGTTTATTGAGACGAAGGCGAAAACTGCCAGCAATATGTACGGACAGAATATCACCAAGACTTTCAGTCCGACCAGCGCAAGTCATTCCTCACGCACCAAACCGAAGGCTTACCCGGCCAAGGTGACTGCGCTGTCAACTAGTGTGGGTGGTGACTATCTTCATGAAGCAAAGAAGGACAAGCAAGTCAAATGTCTCTGCTGTTCCCAGCAACACAAATTGGCAGAATGCAAGACCTTCACACAGAAGTCATATGACGAGCGTCGTCAGTTTATGAGAGATAATAAACTGTGCGACAACTGCTTCATTCCATGGCATGTAGCCAGACGTTGCAGACTCAGCAGTCGTTGTGGGATTGATGGATGCACGTGGAAGCATCATACTCTCCTTCATCCATCCCGTGCGCCTGTTGCCAATCGTGAGGAGCAGAAGGGCTGCAAAAATCCAGCAAGTGTTAAACCTGAACCTGCTGGTACATGTACCTCAACTGGGGCTGGGAGACGGGTGATGGAAGGAGAAAAGGATCAGCCTGGAGAGTGCCATGCTGTGACATCAAGGCAAGTGGCCTTGCGAGTGCTGCCAGTAAGGGTCAAACACAACGGAGCTTGAGACTTGTGCTCTACTGGATGAAGGCAGTGACGTTTCGCTGTGCGACGAGGAGCTGGCTGAGCAGCTTGGGATCAGGGGTGAAAGGTTCAACTTCTCCCTGAATACAGTTGGAGGAACAAGCAAGTATCACGGCATGGAGATAAACCTAACAGTGAAGTCCATCCAAAATGATGAAGAGCTGGACCTACCGAGAGTGAGGACTGTCCAAACCTTGCCTATATCAAGTAGCGTCTTCCCAAATCAGAAGGATGTGAAGAAATGGAGACATCTGGATGGAATTGAGTTCCCCCAAACTGACGGAAGGCCAGTTCAAGTCCTAATCGGCGGAGATGTCCCTGAAGCCTTTTGGGTGATGGAAGAGAGGCGGGTTGGACGCAAGGAACCTTATGCGGTGCGATCACTCCTGGGATGGACGCTCGTTAGTCCTACATCACCCTCCTTCAAGCAGGGAGCAGGAAGTTTCAATATCAACCATGCCAAGCTGCAAGACGACCAACTGCAACAGCAAGTGCAGAGATTTTGGGAGGTAGATTTTGGCGGATCTATCATGGACAATAAGCGTGGTGACTCTGTGGAGGATCGGAGAGCGAGATCCACCATGGAGGAGTCTGCAAGGCTGATTGATGGGCACTACGAAATAGGTCTACCATGGCGAAGACGAAATTCTGACTTGCCAGACAACCGGGCACTTGCTGAAACGAGGCTGGGTTCCCTTAAGAAACGCCTGCAGAAAGATGATGAGTTGCGTCAGCAGTACAAGGAAACCATTGATGGTTATGTCCAAAGGGGATATGCAAGACCAGTGGCGGAAGAAGTACCAAATGTCGAGGTGGGAAGGAAATGGTATTTGCCACATCATCCTGTATTTCATCCCCAAAAGCCAGGAAAGATGAGAGTGGTATTTGACTGCGCAGCAAGATTCCGAGGTACATCACTCAATGATAATCTCCTACAGGGCCCAGACTTAACAAACAACCTGGTCGGTGTGCTGACTCGTTTCGTTCCGCCATGAGACTGTTGCATTAGTAGCAGACGTGGAGGCTATGTTCCACCAGGTACGAGTTCCCGAGAGAGACTGCGATGCCCTACGATTTCTGTGGTGGCAGAGTCATGACTTGTCCAAGGATCCGACTGACTTCCAGATGCTGGTTCATTTGTTTGGGGCAACATCCTCGCCCAGTTGTGCAGGATTCGCTCTGAGGAAAACGGCAGATGACTATGGTGCTGAATTTGGGGAGGCTGCCTCAGCAGTACGTGACAATTTCTACGTCGATGACCTTTTGGTGTCGGTGAGTTGTGCAGAAGCGGGTATCAACCTGGCTAGACAGCTCATTGATCTGCTCAGCAAAGGTGGATTTAGACTGAGGAAATGGATCAGCAATAACCGGGAGGTTCTGTCTGCTATTCCAGCAAGTGAGAGAGCCCCATCTGTGTTGGATCTGGATTTGGGAGACTTACCAATCGAGCGTACCCTTGGTATACATTGGAACGAACAGTCGGACACCTTTGCTTTCAAGACGGTTCTGAAGGAAAGGCCCACCACCCGGAGAGGCATCCTATCAATTGTCAGCTCACTATATGACCCACTGGGGTTCCTAGCGCCTTTCATCCTACCTGCCAAGATTTTGCTTCAGGATATCTGAAGCAAGAAGCTAGGTTGGGACGAAAAGGTTGAGGAGCGAGAATTGTTTAGATGGAAGCGCTGGTTGGATGACCTGCCAAGATTGGAGGCTCTCACCATCCCCAGGTGTTTGAGGCCAAGGGAGCTAGAAGATACTGCAATCAGTCAGCTGCACTTCTTTTCAGACGCCTCTGAACGTGGATATGCGGCCGTGGCTTACCTACGGACAGTGGATGGATCAGGAAAGATAGACTGTTCCTTCATCATTGGGAAGGCAAGGCTGTGTCCTAAGAGGTCGATATCCATACCGAGGTTGGAGCTTACGGCAGCTGTCCTATCAGTTCAGCTCAGCAAAATGGTTCAGGAAGAGCTGAGATTGCCCATCACCGACATTGTATTCTGGATCGATTCAACTTCGGTTCTGCAATACATAAGAAACGAGAGTAGGCGCTTCCGCACCTTTGTCGCAAATCGGGTTGCAAGGATCCAAGATGCCACCGATGAGTCACAGTGGCGATATGTCAACTCCGAATCCAACCCAGCAGATGAAGGATCCAGGGGCCTGAGCGCTGAAAGGATGATCAAAGATGGCCGCTGGTTAAAGGGGCCGCAGTTCCTGATGATGAATGAGGATCATTGGCCAATACCTCCAGTTGTCGTGCAGGGTACTGTACCAAACCCTGACATATTGCCGCTCAATGATGCTCTTGAGAGGGATCCTGAACTCAAGAGGGTGGTGACGCAGACAGCCTTAGTGCAAGAGAAGCTGAAGGTTGATGACTTCCTGACCAAGTACTCATCATGGAACCGATTGAAGAGAGGCGTTGCTTGGCTCTTGCGTTTCGTTCAGTATCTTCACATCCGCTGCAAGGGAATAGCAGATGACTCAAGCCTTAAACAAGGAGGTCTTTCCGTAGAAGAATGCCAGAGTGCAGAAAGGGGCATAATAAGGTACATACAGAGTCAAGCATTTCCCAAAGAGATAGATGCACTTCACTCGACGAAGCAGGAGACGGCCACCTGCGGAAAGAAGTCCAGGGGGCAACGACTCTCTCTTCACAAACTGAATCCTGTTTTGATGGATGGCATCTTGCGAGTAGGCGGTCGCCTTAGAAACGCACCAATTGATCAGGATATGAAACACCCGATTATTCTTCCCAGCAACCATAAGGTGACAGAGCTCATTATCATTCACCATCACTTGCTAGTAGGGCACTCCGGGGTTGGAATGACATGGTCGTCGCTGAGGGAGAAGTTCTGGGTCGTCAGAGGTGGCGCAACTGTTAGACGTGTCATTGGCAACTGCTTTGAGTGCAAGAAGAGGAATGCTCCATTGAGACAACAGTTCATGGGTGACTTACCGGCGGCTAGAGTAACGCCAGATAATCCTCCGTTCACATCGGTCGGTGTTGACTACTTCGGTCCCGTCTACGTGAAGCAAGGCCGGATTCACATCAATCGGTATGGGTGCATCTTCACATGTTTATCGATGCGGGCAGTCCACCTTGAAGTTGCTTACTCTTTGGATACCAATGCTTTTATCAACGCACTTCGACGATTTATCGCAAGAAGGGGCAAACCACAGATCATCATGAGTGATAACGGCACAAATTTCGTCGGGGGAGAGCGAGAGCTGCGGGAAAGTCTTGATGACCTGAATCAGCGGAGGGTTGGTGACTTTCTGCTGCAGCAGGGTATCAGGTGGCAATTCAATCCTCCAACAGCAAGCCATATGGGCGGTGTATGGGAGAGAATGATACGGTCTGTGCGCAAGATCTTGAGGTGTTTGTTGAAGGAGCAAGTTGTGTCTGATGAAGTTTTGCTTACCTTGATGGCAGAGGTCGAGGCAATTCTCAATGCCAGACCATTGACCCCACTGAGTTTTGATCCAGGTGACGACGAGCCTCTGACACCGAATCATTTGTTGCTGTTGCGGGCTAATCCCAGCTTACCCCCAGGTCTGTTTCAGAAGGAAGATGTATACAGCCGTCGACGTTGGCGTCAAGCTCAGTTTCTGGCCGACCAATTTTGGAATCGTTGGCTTCGAGAGTACTTACCTGTATTGCAACTTCGACAGAAGTGGACGCAGCGAGTACAGAATCTTCAAGTTGGAGATCTGGTCCTGGTGGCGGATGACAGGGTGTCTCGCGGTCATTGGCCTTTGGGAAGAGTCAGCCAAACCTACCCAGACCATGAAGGCAACGTCCGACAGGTGGAGGTCAAGACCAGGACCGGCTACTTCAGACGACCAATCACCAAGCTGTGTCTCGTGGAGAGTGCCGAGAACAAAGTTGTTATTGTTATTCAGACTTTAAGGGGACGTTACATAAAGTTTGGGGAAAATGAAAATCTAGTAAGATAGTTCATTTGGGGCTGGAAATGTAACGTTGTCTTACCAGTTACATCAAATTTCATTCATGATTTGTATTGGGGGCGCCCTTTGTTTACATGTGCAGGCTTGCGCGTAGGTCAAGGGTCAAGCGCGACATGTACTGATTCGTTGTGAACGTAATTCCAGAAATTAAGGCTTAGGTTTCCCCGGACTCTACACAATCGGTATGATTTCTGTTTCAATTGTTATTAATCGTTAACTGTAAACTTTGAAGAAGATATTTGGGTTAATTTGGGGGGCATTTTGAAGTGTTTAATCGTTTAAATCTGTGGGATATTTGGGTCATAATTTGGGAAGAACTTGTACGTGAAATCACTGCATTGTTATGTGTATTGTTCAAGGGTCAGGTAAATCCCTTCGTTTTGGCTAGTTATTCGTTAGAGTTTTGTCATTTATTGCAGTGAACCGTTTACTGCCAGGCCATATCCACTCAGATCGCGGCGCACATCAGTTAAGCAATTATAGCCAGTGAATGAAGGATCAAGTAAAGTGTACACAAGTGCAGACAAATAAAAAGGACTGGAGCGAGTTCAAAAATAGAGTTTCGACAATTTATTTCCCATGTACTAAGCTACATCTGCATGTTGCGCAAGACAAAAGGCAATTTTGTGAAGAATTGTATTGCGGTTGTTACACACTAGTTGTTACCCTAACTGTATGCATACTTCATTTACAAATGTATTTTTTCTTCTTATTTTGTTTTCAGAAATGAAGAGTGTCGTGACACCATCCAAGACATCAAGTTCCTTCTGGTCTGTTTGTGTGCAGCTCGTCCAGTGTGTCTGTCCCATTAACCCTGCCCTGTCCTCTCATTTCATTCCTTAGTGTGTTTAGTTCATTCCACATCCACTCCAACATTTCATCTCCTAAATATCATATGAATAAAAGTTGTTACATGTGAGCTGAAGTTGTTATATGTGAGCTGAAGTTGTTATATGGGAACTGAAGTTGTTTTTTGTGAGCTAAACGTGTTCTGTGTTAAAGCTATTTTGTTCTAAAGTTACAAAGCTGAAGTTGATTGCCAATTCAAAGGCAAAGATTACATGCTGAAGTTGATTGCCAATTCTAAGGCAAAGATTACTTGCTGAAGTTGATTGCCAGATCAAAGGCAAAGATTACTTGCTGAAGTTGATTGCGAATTCAAAGACAAAGATTACTTGCTGAAGTTGATTGCCAATTCAAAGACAAAGATTACTTGCTGAAGTTGATTGCCAATTCAAAGGCAAAGATTACTTGCTGAAGTTGATTGCCAATTCAAAGGCAAAGATAACTTGCTGAAGTTGATTGCCAATTCAAAGGCAAAGATTACTTGCTATTGTTGATTGCCAATTCTAAGGCAAAGATTACTTGCTATTGTTGATTGCCAATTCTAAGGCAAAGATTACTTGCTGAAGTTGATTGCCAGATCAAAGGCAAAGATTACTAGCTGAAGTTGATTGCGAATTCAAAGGCAAAGATTACTTGCTGAAGTTGATTGCCAATTCTAAGGCAAAGATTACTTGCTGAAGTTGATTGCCAGATCAAAGGCAAAGATTACTTGCTGAAGTTGATTGCCAATTCTAAGGCAAAGATTACTTGCTGAAGTTGATTGCCAATTCAAAGGCAAAGATTACTTTCTGAAGCTGATTGTCAATTCTGAGCTAAAGATTACAAAACTGAAGTTGATTGTCAATTTGTAGCCAAAGATGACAAAGTTGAAGTCAGTTAATGTTTTCAAGGTAAACTCAAGATTTATATAGCCTGACGTTGCGAACTTAGCAAGTTCTTCTTCAGAGGCTAAAACAGAAATGACAGAGGTACATACATTAACATGGGGGTGCACACAAACATGCAGGGCTGAAAGAAGAAACACAAAAGGAGAATTAGGTGTGAAAGGTGTGGAAAGATGCAGGGGAGGGTGGATGAGAGAACAAAGAAAAAAGGGATATGGCAAACCACAAGGGGTCTTGTGTAAACAGGGGAGGGCCCAGAAAGGGGAAGGATCAAAGGTCACAGGGAGTGGGAACGAGCAAAAGAGTGTGAGAGTGAAGGGATGATGTGGGGGGGACAGTATTGAGGTGGAAAGGGATGAAAGATGGGGAAAGATGGGTAAACACAAAAAAGGAAGACCAGATGGATTATCTGTAACAGAAGACAATGGAGGAAGGAAAGGATTAATCATTTCCAAGTTGGATGTTGAGACCATGTGGTTGAATAGTTCGAAGACGATTCATCCACACTTTCTCTCTGCTGAGGCTGTCACAATAAAACCACCCTTGTCTTGTATCTGTGACTATTTAATAGGTAGTGTGAATAAATCCTTTTTTTTAACCCTTGTACAACTACGCATGAGTGGATCAGAGCCCAAACCTAGCCAGCCGTGGTTGACTGATCAAGGTAACAATAAGAACACATTCCACACACAATACCTCTAGGAGCATCTTCCATGTACCCACACGCACACAATACACATCCCTGGTATCTCCACTCTGGTAAGGTAGATATTTTGCATATTCATGAGCTTTGGTTTAAATAAGAATGGGAATGAAGTTAAGTTTGAATGAGTGTGAGGAAATGAGATGGTAATTAGTGGAAGGTTGCTGGAATTTGAAGGGAAAGTGAGGTAGTTGTCTCCATGATTCTGAGCTGTGTACATGTACATGTATTTGCGCCATCACTCTGCTCTGCTGCAGCGATTTTTTTATACTTTAGGGTAATTCAGACCCTAAGATCTTTTTTCCAAGCAATCTGGCTTGTGACAATTGCAGTGCAGCCAACATTGAAGATTTCAGAGTGCTTTTCAAGCAAATTTGTGCTTGAATGTGTTTTTAACTTTGGCGTGAGGGAGACAAGTCAGCAACATCGACCAGCAACCGTAAGTTGAAGATTTAATTGTTTTCATGATTAATTAAAAGAAAAGAAAATATTGTTTTCCCTTCATTATATTTATGTTGTGAGATTCACCAGGATTAAGGATTGAATCTAGAATTGTGAATTGTTTGAGATAAAATTGATTGGCTATATATTATGAGGATTGTTGCATACCTGATGTATATATCAGAAGTTAATTTAATTGTGTTAATTTAAGAATGAGAAAAGTCTAAGTGACATGAGATCGAAGTAAAGAGTAGTATTCATTTTTAGGATTAGCTTTGAAGAACATTTGATTGGTGATTCGGCCTGTATTTTGTATAATGACTCCAAATTATTGTGAGAGTTTATTGAAATTATAAATTTACAGACGGCCTAATCTGATCCTACAATTGACGAGGATAGATGCACGAAGGCGACGCCACAGGCACTGAAGTCAAGCCAGAGGGCTGAAGGCAGCTTACAGCAGCAGCATTTCCAGTGTTTTTAACCGTGGAGTGGGTGGCGAGAACTACCAGGAAGAAGTCAGTTGTTTTTATGCCTGCATTTATGTAATTGTTTTTTAGATAGTATTGTAATAGTGTATTTTGAATTTGCAGTAACGTGAGGACGTGAAACGTCATCAAAAGTAGGATAAACTATTCAATTTAAATTTGTGACTTCGTTCACACAGACCCTGCGGGGAGTGGACTGTAACTTACAGAGAACCTAATAATTTGGTAGTATTTGCGGAGAGAAAACTGAAATTTGATTCCACTTATACAGTGAAGATTAAGGAGTTTTGTTTTCATATATTTTGGAGAAGTTTAACTTAATAGTTTGCAGAAGGTTGTGAATTTTGGGTAGATTCAACCGTTCGTAATAGTGTTATATTTATTTTGTTGGATATTTGACCAGTGTAATTAATCCCGTATTCATTCGTACTTTGGATGTAATTGTCCAACACAGCTGGGATATTTTCTGTTTATATATTTGATTGCAATTTACAAGTGGTGCATTTGAGAGTAATTAACTCAAGCTTGAGGTATTGTTGTAAGTAGGAGTGATTTTTAAATTAATAAATTAATTCGGAGAACAGAATAATTTGTGGACATTGTTTTATTTACCATTGTCTTTGAACATTTTAAGAGGAAGGTTAACTGGATCTGACAGAGGCGAACTGAGTCCTTGCGATGGCCAAGAGATTCAATGCCCTGCAAAATCATATCAGAAATGGAGTGGTTAGGCAGGTTGAAGTGATGACCAACAGGGGTGTCTAGTTTCTTGGTGTTGACCGTTGACCGGTGGGCATAGAAACGCTTCTTGAGCGTATTCTTAGTCTCACCTACATACGGGAGTCAGACTCCTGGATATGAATCTGGCAGACAACTCATCTGGAACTGTACTTGAAAGTACCATGCTGGGTGGGAGGGGATGCATCTAAGGAAGGGACTTCAGCTCGAACAATCAAGTCCCGTAGATTTCGAGGACGCCTGTAAGCCAATGTGGGGCCGTTGGGGATTGCGCGGGCAAGGCGATCTGAAGTATGGAGGATATGATGATTGTCATTAGTGATTTTGCGAAGGGGAGGGAGATTGGGGTGAAACGTGGTAACCAAGGGACTCATGGGTTTGGCCATGGCATCAGGGGCCTTTCCCGTGAGAGCTAGATTTCTGGGAATAGCTTTAGCTCTGGCAATGGCACGATGAACTTGGCGAGAGCTGTGACCCCTGGCCACCAAGTTGTTCCTCAGTATCTGTGTATGGCGGGAGAAATCGGAATCATTAGAACAAATTCTTCTGAATCTGAGTGCCTGGCTAAACGCTATGCCAGTTTTGCAGTGCCTGGGGTGACAGCTGGAGGAGTGGAGGTACTGTTGGGTGTCTGTGGGTTTGGAATACAGGTCAGTGGTTAGTGAGTTGCCTTGCTTGCGGACGGTGACATCCAGAAAGTGGGTTTGGTGAGCCGAGAACTCCGATGTGAATTTGATGGTTCTGTGGAAGGAATTGATGTGGTTAGTGAAGGTCAAGAGACTGTCCTCATCACTGGTCCAAATGAAAAAAACATCATCAATATATCTCCACCAGATCCAAGGGCGACATGGGGCCGAGGCAAGAATGCGTTCTTCGAGGTCGCCCATGAAGAGGCAAGCCATCGACGGGGCCATGCGAGTGCCCATTGCAGTGCCGTGTACCTGTAGATAGTGTTCACCAAGGAAGGAAAAATTGTTCTTCGTTAGTATAAGTCTCATGAGGGTGCCAACATCACTGATGGGAGGAGTCGTGTGTCCTGCCTTGGCCAGAGCTAAGGAGCAAGCACGAACACCCTCCTCATGTGGGATGTTGGTGTACAGAGATGAGACGTCGAAAGTCCCAATGATGGCTGTGCTGGGAATCTGGTCCTTGATTCCTTGAAGCTTGCGTAGGAAGTCTGGGGTGTCGTGAATGTATGACGAAATCTGTGGGACAAGGGGTTTGAGAAAACTGTCAATGAACAGGGAGATGCGTTCCGTGGGTGAGCCATTACCGGAGATGATGGGTCTACCGGGGTTGCCAGCCTTGTGAATCTTGGGTAGAAGGTAAAATCTGGCAGTCCTACAATCACAGGGAGAAAGAAATTTGTGAGCTTTCTTGGACAACTGGTCACGTGATCGCATATCGTCAAGTACCTGTTGTATATCTCGACAGAAAGTGCCTGTGGGGTCAGAGTCAAGGCGGGTATAGTTAGTGCGATTATCCAACTGGCGGTGGGCCTCATCAATGTACTGCTGACGATCCATGATGACCACAGCTGAACCTTTATCTGCTGGCTTGATGATGATGTCGGTGCGAGAGCGCAAGGAGTTGAGAGCCAGGCGCTCCTCTCTGGGGAGATTATCATGAGTCCTGTGGGGGAAGTTGTCCGGGTTAGTGACTTGGGAATTGATAACTTGAACGTATGTCTCTATGGCTGGCACACGATTCTTGGGGGGTACCCACGAACTCTTGACTCGAAAAGGCTCTGGCTCATACGGTTCACTGTCCAGGAAAAACTCACGCAGACGGATTCTACGGTAGTATTCCGTGAGATCTTGGCTGAGCTGAACCTGGTTCACAGAACGGGGAGCGGGACAAAAATTGAGACCCTTGGAGAGAAGTTTGTGCTCTGCGTCAGATATTGATGAGGAAGAAAGATTAACTACAGTGTTGACAGGGGGTTCTGGCGGTGGCGTGGTAGATGGGGACCTAGGACGTCTGAAACGTCTGTCTGCGTTGCTGTTGCTTGGCAAGCAAGCCACCAATCTTCTTGTTTCTCCTGTTGAGTAGGACAGAGTCAAGGTTAGACAAACCCCTTTCAATCTCATCATGGAAATTCCTGTACGTGGAGTCAGAACAACTGGATTTGAGTTGGGAGTCAAGGTGGGAAATATTCTGGTGGAGGTCCTCCCGTGTAAATTGACACTGCTGAGAGAGAATATTGATGAGTTTAAAGGGAAAATACAACATTTGCAAACATCAAAAAATAAAACTACCAAATCATTTTGAAATACCTTGCTGGACTGTTAGTGAATGACAGTGTAAAGCATCCTGTAAAATCATGGCACCTGGTATACTGTCATTTTCAAGAAAAGTGCTATTTTTGTATCAATTTCCAACGCTGATCGGCCGATCAGCGTTGGAAACAACTGGCTTTTTTTTCAAATACTGGCCCCAATTGACCATCACACTTGTTTGCAATCGATTACAAACCTATGAACGGGTACGAGCCAGCTAGACTGGTTTCCTGACCTTACAATTCCCCAATGTACGTTAAAGGCTCTGTTTCTTCTTATATGGAGTCAGGGAACCAGACTACAGGAAAATGATCGTTTTCTTGGTTTTTATAGCATTTTCAAACACAAAACCTCAAAAAGTCAGTGTAACTATATTTGCTATATATTTCCACCCCCCAATTCCATCCATTTATGAAAATTACAGCAAAAGCAAATGATGTATATTCCCTTTAATAGAGGTACCATGTATAACTTGATTCCATCTCCTTTGAAGGTGTGGTGGGAGGTTTCCTAAGCAGGGAGTGTGAGACAGTTGCAAACCTTAAGATTTATATATTTCAGGTCCATCCAGTCAGTAAGCAGTTTGCAGCAGTTTTACTTTTTTTCATTTTTTTCAGGATTTATATAAGGGGATGTGTGGAAATCAAATTTCCAACAAGAATCAAAGTGTGGACAAAATGCAATCCCATTGTGTATCATTGAGTTCATACAAGAACGTACAGGCATGCTTGAGTCTAATGCTGAACATGTGTGTGAATCAGAACCTGTGTATATGTTTGTTCCTGTGGCAGATGTTGAAAGACATGTGAATCGATGGAAGAAGTGGAGAATCAACAAAATGACCAAAAAGAGATTGAAACAGCAGAAAGCAGTGCGAAGGTTGAAGGCCAGTGGGCAAACATGCTGCAGTAGACATCAGGTATTGGATTGTGTTGTAGAGTATATCAAAGAGACAAAGAGGGTGTCAAAACCGAAGAGAAAGAAAATCAGAAGATGTGAACGAAGACAAGCATTGCATAGGTTGAGGAATGACAAGGTCATTGAACAGCGTATGAGTAAGGAAGAGAGGAGGAACCATGAGAAAACACAAAAGAGTATGCAGAGTCACACAAAAAGAAGTCTGTCTTATGTTATCAAGAAAATGAAAAATAAAAGCGAAGCCAAAAAAGGAAGTCGATCAAACATAAGAATAAACAGGTCTTGTTGAAGAGAAGTAAATGTTCAGATGGACTAAATGGGAATATAGGAAGGAAACTTCACAAGAGATGTAGTGTTGAGAAGTCAGCAGTTACGGATGTGAATCGTTCTATAAACGAAGTACAAGTCAAGCAATGTTGGTTGTGTGATCAAGTGGCTAGTGAACACGATCAAGTTGTGAAGTGTGATACTTGTAAAATCTACTATCATGTCAATTGTATGGGATTTGCAAACATTCAGTCTGTGCTTGCAAGCAAATCCGTAGCATGGCTGTATCTAAAATGTGGGAGGTGTACCTACAATGACTCTTTGTTGTATGATCTTGGCATTCCGACAGATGAGAACAAATTTGAGATGCCATCATCTGAAGTGTACATGGAGGAAGCAGCTGTTGAGTCATGCACTGAATGTGCAAGAGCACATTGAAGTTTCAACTGTACATGGAAACGAAGGTGAGGAACAGGCAGGCAATGACAAAATTGAGCATGTACATGTAGATATCATGGACTGCAAACATGCATGTTTAAATACAGGTGAAAGATGTTGCATTGTTCAGCAGACTGGAGGTTATTTTTTTACGCAGCAAGAAAAGTAATGCTGAGATTAGTTGTAGTAGTGGAAAGGATAAGAATGAGGAAAATCAAGACAATGTACAGAGGACAAGAGGTCAGTCTGCAAGGAAAAGTAGAGATGATAATGGCAAAAGTAGAAGGAAAGAGCGAGTGTTCATACAGAATGAAAAGAACAGTGTTGAGAAAATTAAGTCCAAAAGAAAAGCTGGAGACAACATGGAAAATTTAGCACAAGATTGTGACAAGACAAAACTCAGATCCAAAATACATGTATGTACATGTAGTAAACACAGTTGCTCTTGTAAAGACAATCAACAGATTAATGAGACTAAAGAAATCAGATGTATTCAAGGTAGCTTCCATCAAGGTGATCTCAGATTTGCGGAACTGGCTGGAAGACAATGTGTTTGTATGAGCCTGTGTGGAATCCTCTATAGCCGAATTAAGCCGTTAAATATGTGGAGTTGCAAAGACGTGGATTTTGTGTTGAATACTGGGAATGAATTGTACAGTTGTTTGTCTCGGAGCTCTACAATGATGAATGGATATTTGTTAATCAGTGAGTTGCCTGATAAGATAGATGCATTTGGTAAATGTTTTCACATGAAGATTGCTGAATCTGTTTCTGACACTTTTGCAGAAGAAGGACATCTGACTGAGTTCAATATGATTCCGTTGAGTAGGGCAGTAGAGCAGACAATTCAGAAATACTGTGCCTGTTTCATTTGTTTCAAAGGCAACACATTTGCAGTAATTGCTAAAGATGGAATGAATTACATTTTTGATTCACATTCTAGAAA